CACTTCTCACAAGCTGATGCTTTCAAGTTAGAATAGGCAGTATTTGGAGGCTGTTTTGCATATATCTTCCCTAATATACATATGTGCAACCGGGGGCTGCCTTGCCACAACTATTTAAACTCATAATTGTTTTTCAAAACTCCATTTAAAAAATGCCATTGAGAGACAGTTTAGAAGTATGTTAAAGTTCTTGGAAACTGTCCATATGATACAGTACTTACAGGATTATGTCTTTAAATATTAACTAAACAGAACTAGCAGTGAAAATTCAACTTCAAAGTGTTTTAAGAATCAGCTTGACTGTAAAGCTGTGCCCAACTTAAGGTGAAACGTATTTATGGAAAGCTGTTTTTTCCAACGGTAAATGCATAAAAAGCATGAGACCTTGCTATGAAGTGACAACTGTAAATCAAAGAATGGAATTTGATTTTTTTCAGGTGTGAACACAGCACATGCGTAGAAACACCCATATGTAGAGTTCAGTGCTGTTGCAAATGAAATCAGGTCCTTATTGTGCTGGGTGGTGAATCAGGGTAGTAAAAGACATTTCTTTTACTGAAGAATTTAGGATCTCGTGAGACAAACGTTGCTGGTAAACTGTGTCTAACTTTTACGAGGCTGGTATTAAGAAGTCAAAGCAAAGACTGTACTCGTAGGGTTTGTACAAGTGTTAGGCTTCTACCAGGAAAATCTCAGTTTCCCCAGGGAAACCCAAAGTGTACACGTGTGCACATAGTTTCTACCGAACTACAAATGTCAGTTCTGGTAGAAAAATAAACTGACTGCACTCCAGGAGGATACAAGTAAGTCCTGGTAGAGTTTCTACCAGAGGAACAAATGCATTTACACTTACCTGGGGGTGTTGCGGGTAGGAGTTTGCTGAGTGGAACAAAACCATGAGAATTTTCTTGGATCTTCTGAACACTTGTGCATACAATTTTGTACTTGGTACACTTTAAAAAAAATCAAGTGATTCAGGGTTTCTTTAAAGTAGAGTTCTTGTTTTAAAAGTATTGCTAGCCTAAGATGTGTTCTAATTGCCCAAGCTTGGATTATGCATGACAGCATCTCATTTTAGAAAAACTGGGACAGGTGGTCTTATTTAGACACTGATTTAGGTTTAGTGTTTTAAGTTCTTAATTGATTAGAAAAGGAAAGTCATCCAAATACAGAGTGAAGTTGATTGCTTAACTTCATCATTCTATTTTCTCTGCGGGTTGTTTGTTTAAAGTACAGGTTCTTTGGAGCAGGAGCCTTCTCTTCATTCCTAGCTATCAAAGAAGGAAATAATAAGCTACTCAAAGTTTATTCCATTGGCTCTCCAAAACTTTAAACAGAAACCAGTCTAATGCTTTCTTTTATATAAAAAGATTATATTGGTTTAATTAAAGGGTGTATTTTAAAATTTGTGCAAGTCTCTTTATAATCTTAGATCGGTTTTTTAAACCTGGCATACATCTATTTAGGTTACTTTGATTTAACATTGGCCTTAAAACTCTTAGGTGTGGAAGCGTGAACAGCCATGTTCTACTGGGGTCCCTGGTGCACATTCATTTAATGGTGCCATGGGATCTGATCCCAACAAGCATGCCTCCTGCCATACTGCACGTGCATGGCAGGATGCATGATTTTGGGATCATGGATTAGAGTCCATTCTTGCCATTATTACTTGCTAGTGGAGGGCGGGGGCAGGACCAAGATCTCAAGACTAAAGTGAAAGCAACCAGTGTGGTCCCAGGACCCGGACTGACAGTCAGCTGCTTGTTGGTCCCAGGGCCTGGACCACACCAGGGCTGCATCAGGACTCCATTGTGGTCCCAGGGCTGGGACTGACAATCAGCTTGTGTGGTCCCAGCCCCAAGACTACACTGGTGCCAGATCAAGGCTCCAGTGCAGTCCCAGGCCCAACTCTCAGTCCCAGCCTCAGAACTGCAAATACCAGAGAAACAACTGCACGCACAGTTTTTAAAGTCCTGTTACACTGGGATCAGGGAGAGGTTCCCTGATCCTGGGGTCGCCATGTGCTGGGGATGTCAGAAAACCATGTATACAGGTGGACTGCATGTGTGCTTGTTAAAGGTCTTAGCACACAGCAGCCCTGGGATCAAGGAACCTCTTGTTGATCCCAGGGTCCTCCCATGGCTGGGATGTATCAAGTGTCTTGCTCTGCAGCTCTGGGGCAAATGTGGAAAAGGCAATCAACCTTTCAGGTCTCACTGAGCCATGTAGCTCACCATCACCTGACACCAGAATGTGTCTTGTTCTTCAATCCCTACTGGAGCTGCAGAGCAAGGCATGTGTTATGCTGGGTAGTGGGGACCTGGCACCCCAGCACAGCTGGTGAGCTCCCCTCAACTTGGCACCCTGAAAACCATGAGGGGCTGTCCCACATGGCAATCAGCTTGCCAACACGGAAGTTGTCAGCTAAGCTCCATCCTGCAGCTAGCATCAGGCTGCATGGTATGGTTACCCTGCCACATGTTCCATTTAAAGCACAATGGAAACCAGCTACAAAAGTGTTGCATGTTTTGTGGAATATTTTTGTGGCAGGTTTCCCACTTTGTGAATCTATTAGTTACCTGAACGAATGGCAGAATTACTATTTATGGCCTGATTTAACAGGTTAATCCTGTCTTAATTGTAATGTCTGACGGGCCTTGGATTCTTAGTGATAAATACTATTACTTTCTTGATTGTAAGAATTAACAGAATAACTGGATGTTCTGGAATTTAGCAATGGGGAGAAAATAGCACTGATATCCATATGCTAAAATATAAAAATACTTATTTTAAAACAAGGGATGTTTTTAAACATACTGCACGCTTTCCCCTTTCCATCAGAATGATGCAAGTATTGCTCAGTTGAGGTGGAGTCTATTAAATACATTTCAATACTATTCATATAAATTGTTACTTAACAAAGTTAACAACCTTTTACTTGCACCAGAAATTTGAAACCTAAATCATAACAGTACTTCTGTTTGTTGAGGCTTGTTTTTTCAGCAGACCTATACCAGTGCCGATTGGGCAAGTTGCTGCTTGTAGTAAAGGAATCCCATCTATCATGTACTCAGAGTAATTTTACCTATTGCCATTCTTCCCAAACTAGCTTTCAAATACAGTGAGTTGAAAAAAAATGAATAAAGTGTGACTCGATCCAGTTCTTATAAAGTCCATTTGGAGTGGGCATGTAGGTTTGCAAACAGTTTCCACACTGCTGCACTAATCAACTGAGCAGGATGCAGGACCATGAGCAGGACCTCAGGATTGGCTGTAGAGGGGAATAGGGAACCATGAGTTCTTTTACTAACCAAAAAAACCTGAGGGGGTTTTTTTTTGTTTGTTTGTTTGTTTTTTTAGGAGAAATGATAACATTTTAATGATGCTTAGTAATTTCTATCTTCCAGTCAGTCAGAGGCAAGATTAATTCTAGGCCTCTCCTCACCCTTATGCCATGAAGGATTGCTCAAACAGCATGGTTATAACATGGATGGCTCAAATGTGAATGTGTTCTTCTTTCTAGCCTGCAAGGGTATAAAGATAAGGACTCTCTTTGTGCAGCATTTTGAGATCTCCTGACAAAAAACTCTGTAAAAAGTAGGGTTTTATTTCTTAGAACCTTTCCCCTTTGGCTGAGGTGAAACTTAAAATAATAGTTTGAGATTTTTTTTTCTTTTAGGATTTAATTTTTAAAGTAATTACCTATCTCTGATAGCACATTTTTCAATCGCAGAAAGGAGTGATTGGGGTCAAGAGAAAGAAAGGCATTTATTGTTTGTTCTCACCTGTGAGTAGAGTTGTTCACAGCAATGGAAAAGCGTCTGAAAGATGTTTTTCTTCTGAAAAATATGTGCACAGAGAGATTTTTATTGGGCTAAAATTGGGGAGACACTACAAATGAAGTCCTTGATGATTTTTAAGGTAAGGTGAAATAACCAAGTAAAGTATTGACTCAACTACTGATCAGCTTGGCAACAGTGCAGACAGATCAGAATATTAAACTGAATACACACTACTTGCTTTTTTATTCCTTTTCCTTTTGAATGTCTGTGTGTGTAAGAACTTTATTAATAAATATAAATGTCAAAAGATGTTTATTTAAATACACAAATAAACACCTTTTGGCATTTATATTATTAATCAAGTTATATATAAAAATAATTTTACTGTACCTAAGCAAGTCTTTCTTCTGAGCCCTTTGCCTATACACATATACCTTATACCAGCGGTTCCCAGTCTGCGGTACAGGTGCCACCAGTGGATCGCAGACAACCTGTCAGTGGTACGTGTTAGCAGATTTATTATAATTACTTTGAGACAAAAAATTGTTGGTGGCAAGGCTGAATTGAAAATGTGCTGGTGGCTTTAAATGGGTGGTGCGCAACCTGGCTGGCGTAGTTTGGGGACCGCTGCCTTCCGCTCGGTGGCAAGCTGTCAGCGGGAACAGAGCACTGTTTTTGTGGCTGTAGATATTTCTTCCTCGATTGTTTTCCCCGGCAGATCGGTTTCGTCTGCACAGCGCTCGAGTCACCGCAGTTTAACGCAGCGAAAAGGGGAAATTAAAGCAGCATTAAACTCGACATTTTAAGCGAGTGCATGACGGCAGTCCCTGTTCCGAAACAGCGCAGCCCGGCCCCACCGGGAGGTTCAGACCTGGTGCTTTAAAAGCCCTTTCTTGAGAGCAATGCCCCCTTCCCCTGCCCCTCCTGCTTACCTTCCTGGGCACGAGCAGCGCGAGCTC